AGGTACCACCTCTCTGCACCTTAATGAAACAACTGAATGCAGAGCTGGAGCAAAGGAAAGCACCTGCTACATGCCACAGGAAAACCACATTAAAATTCAGTCCTAAATCTTCCAGCTTTTCCTAACAGTTACTTATAATTTCACACACAGCAGATCTTAGACCTTTGCAGTTCTCTGGTGAACTGAACACAAACCACTATTAAAAAAAAAATCCTAAAAACAAATAATACTTTCAAAAAATAGAGCTGTGTTTTGTAATTCACACACGTATTAGCCAGAATATGAGCAACAGATTCAAGGGCAGTTTAGGTAACATCCCTCAAACCATATGTATGTATATACACTGGCATATGTACATATTTAGCACAAGAAAAGGAATTTATATAGTACTATTCACCTAATATACAATTGTCTGACCTTTCAATAGCTTCTCATCTCAGGTTTTATTTAGAACCCAGTTATGGATTGTTTGGGGAGTTTTTGTTTGTTTTGGAAGGTGTGTTTACAAAAGGTCACACAGTTTTGAAAATTAGCTTTTTAAACCAAAATATTTTAAACATTTAAACAAATAAAACTAGAATAGAACTATTATTTGGGAAGTAACTACTTTTAACTCACTTTCAGTTACCTTTACTAAACATATCCTCATTCTGACAATTCCATGAACAGCCAGAAATCATTAACCATTAATGAGGCTAAATTAACAGAGCACCCTTTTTCTCATATGGGTAATTAGCCCTATTTAGTACACATGAAAAATATTAAAACTTCCCATTTCACAATATCACGATTCCAGGGTTAACATTCCCACCCATTCCAGGCTGAGAAGCTGCCAGGTGTTTTATGGAATTTTATCTAAATGGGAAACACCTGGCTTGTAGAACACCTACACCAGTACACCAGATGCACTTTCCTGTGGATTTTCTTCTTCCCTCAATACGACAAGCACAGCTAAGAAGGACCAAAAGCCCAACAGCTCATTTGGACTCTTCAGGGATGACTTGCCAGTGTGCATTTTTATTTTCCCCAGTCAGAGGTCCATAAATAAACAGCAGGCCCAGCTCTCCCTGCCCTGCGCTCCTGCTGCACTTGGAGCATCCCTGGCCCAAATTAATCACCCCAAATCCCTCTTGGGGGGCTCCTACACAAATAACTGGTACCTCACAGCTGAGGAACCACTGGGACACAACACTGAGATGCCAAGTATCGCTAATAATCACCCTCCCCAGCCTCTCCTGCACTAGGGAAAGGCAGAGGGCCGGGACAGGGGTGGTGCATGTGTTAAAACACAGAATTGCTCGGCTTGGAAGGGCCTGGGGAATCCTCCAAGGCAGGGTCACCTGGAGCAGGTAACACAGAAACCCCTGGTGGGCTTGGAACGTCCTCAGAGAAGGAAGCTCCACACTCCGGGGGCAGCCTGCTCAGTGCTCTGCCGCTCGCCATGCCGAAGCTCTTCCTCGCGTTGAGGCCAAGAACAGGCCCATTTTACGGGCGCTGCTCCCCGTCCTATCGCTGGGCACCCCTTAACAGTCTGGTCCCGTCCTCTGACACCTCTTGGCGGTATTTATGTACATTAATCTCATTTTTCTCTCCCCAGCCTAACCAGGTCCATCTCCCGCAGTCTCTCCCCATCAGAGAAATGCTCCGGACCCCTCATCACTCCCTCTCCTTGTCTTTCCTGCACTCAGGAGCCCAGAACTAAACACAGACTCCCGCCGGCGCCGTCACAACGGGCCACGCGCCGACCTGCGGCCATACCCCCCCTTAGCCACACAGCAGTGAGCCCTGCAATGGAACATAGCCCTCAGGGAAGGCTGCTGGCAGCGGGAGAATCCCGGGAATAGCACCGAGAAGAGCCCCGGCCATGCCCGCCCGCGTCACTCACTGAGCCCCGCGCCGCTCCCGCCGCCGCTTCCCGCGCCCACCCGCACCGGGGCGGAGCCGCGCATGCGCATTCGGGCGGGCCCGCCCCCCTCATGGCTGCCCCTCAGCACTTCTCGCCCGGTGGGCTCTGCCCGGCCGCTCGGTGTTTATAGCTCGGCTCCTGTGCGGGAAATGTGTAGAAAGACAAAGAGCTGATGTGAATTCTTGCTGCCTGTAAATTTGGTGGAGTTTCCTGCTGTTTGCAGGAGTTGTTGGAAAGGGAGCGATTAGCAGGCAGTACGGATGTGGGCAGTGCGGCTGTGTAAAGCTAGGTCATTTAGGGTGAACATCATAATCCATCGTCTGGACAAATTAAATGAATAAATTCTTACCTGCTGTTGCAAAATACATCTTGCACAGACTGAGCGTATTTTGCTTCAGCAGCTGCTTTTCATAAAGAAACGTGGAAATTGTACCTGAGTGTGTTGGGGAGATGGTTTGTTTCTTTTCTGTGATGCCACTGGTTAATCCAGCACTATTCCTGTGAACAAATGTGCTATTTCTGTTATGTTTACACTCCTCTGTCTTCCCTTTGCTGCACATAAGGTAGAAGATGAGTAAACAGAAGAGTGACCCCATGAGCACTGTCAGATGAGGAATTCCCAATTACATAAAGCTCTTCTAAGCTTCTGGATTAATGCAAACATTGACAGGGTGAACAGGGGACAGATCCTGATGGATCAAAACAAATACAGCAGGAAGGAGAACAAGAAGATCCAAGAGTAGAAAAGTTGTTTTAAAAGCTGGAATTTATTAAATATATCACCTAATGTAGAATTAATCTATTTTTTTTGCCTTTGGACTATGAGCGGAATTCTGGTTCTAGATAATTCTCTAAATTTTAAAATGCCGTTGACTGTTTTACTGCCCCCTCTGAAATGCATTCAAATATTTTTCCTGGAGGGAAAAAGCATAATTATGTAACCTCTCCTAATAAAGTTTTCTTTCAAAAAAAAAAAAAAGTAGACAATCCTGCACACTGGAAATCCACTGAATATGTACTGAACTGAACCAGCAGGTCATGTACTCATAAAAATTAAATAATTGGCTTCAAAATAGATATTTCTCCCCACTGATTTAAAACTGATGGATGGTTTTAATATTCAGCCTAAACTTCCTTGTGGCCCAGTTTTTCCACGTGCAGAAATTGAAGATGTATGGCATATAAAAAGCTTTTTTTCATGTTAAGAAGTTAATGATATCTAATTTCAGATGCTGATTTGGTTTGGACCAAGGCCTCAGTCATGTCCTCAGAAACTTTTGATGCATTTGCAGAGAACTTCAGCACTAATTAACTTTTAGACCTTACAAAGTAATCTGCAATAAGTATATTGGACAGGAAGCTGGATTATGAACCAGTAGACAACATCTTCTCTGGATAAATTCAAATTTGCAGGACAAGCCTGTGAAAGATAAAGAAGTTTCATCTGAGCATTTATTCTTGTCTCACTGACCTTTCCAAGACTGCCTCAGAATTATTTTTTTTAGAGCCTAAGAACTCCCAGCCTGTTCTTTTTTTTTTTTTAATGCTAACACGTTCCTTGTAACAGAACTATTTATATGTTGATTTTAGTGAAGAAAGTGGTGCATCAGCCATTCTGCTTTTCCATCCAAATAAAGGATGAAGTAGCATCTCCAAGGAATGGAGATGCTTTCTTCTGTAAAATACATACTGAATTTTTTTAGAGCTGTAATGAAAAAGTTTTATTTGGAAATGTACAAAGACTACATCTATTAGTGCATCTTTCTGATGAAGGGAATTTGGCTGGTATGTATTTAATGGAACACAGAAGAATTAAAATGCATTATCTACAATGTTTTGGGCAAGTAATTAGGACGACTTGCTGTTTGCTTGAGAAATAGAAACACGAAACTTTGCAATTGACAATTGGCTCTACATTGTGAATAACAATCAGTAAATCTGGCAAGTTTGTTAATGGTAATCCAAAACAAAATCACTAAGAGGGCGCAACTGACACATCTAGAGGAGAAAGTGATTGTATTGATGATACGAAAATCACACGTTTGAACAGCATGAGGATTTCAGCCACTGGTACTCTTTTTCATTAAGTATAAAGTTTGGTAGGGTTTGATAATAGTCCATACATTCTTGGGGAAAAAGCATATGTTTATGCATAGTGGTTTTTCTGTACTTTCTCATTTAGTATTGCTATTTTCTCTTAGCATGAAGTAATTTACATTTTCATACCTGGCCACAATCCGAGTTGGATGAAACTCTTGAAACAGTAGTTGTTCATTGCGTTTGGACCGATGCTAAGGCAAAGTACATTTTGGGACACCACTGGTGAAGGCCTGTGGTGTGAGCAGTGTAAAATGGACAGGCTGTACAGTTCCGCTGCCAAGTGAATGCCAGTGTCACTTCCAGTGGCTCCAAGAGGGACACGAGGCTCTTCCAGTTCTAAACGTGGGAGGCTCCACTTGCACTTCTCTCCTCTTTGGTGTCTCCGTTCTTTGTACTCCAGCTCCATGGGGCAGCATGAGTCCTGGTATTTCTGTCACTCTGTACATTTCAAGGCCGTAAATCAGATTATGACCCCAAGCAGGATTTACCTCTGTGAAATTCAGTGTTGTGATTTCTGCCGATGTCCCGCAGCAGACTGGTTAGGATGGGTCACACGGGGACAAAGCCACCCACGAGTGAGTGAGCGCCTCGTTCCTTCTGCAAGTATTGCACCTTCTCGTTTACCTGCCCTCGGTGCAGACGGGATGAGGAGGGCGCACTGCCTGCAAGCGATAAACTGGGGCAGCAAGGCTGAGGGAGGCTCAGTTTCCCCGTTAGCACAGGCAGAGGAAACGAGCTTCCCCTTTCTCTCCTGATCACACTCACGCTCTCCCAGCACTGCCCACCCGTGAAACCAAAGTACCCGCGAAAGTACCGCGAAACCTCTGAGTACCGGCGGTCGGTGCCCGGCGCTGCTCGCTGTGCCGCGTTAGGAACACCCAGCCTGTAGCACAGCCCAGCGTTCCGCCCGCCCGGGCTGTCCCGGGGCCGGGCTGCTACTCCAGGCAGTACGGTAGGCGCGGCCCGGCCCGCCCCGCCCCGCGCCGCCCGGGCCGGGCTGTGCAGCCACGTCCCCGCTCGGGCCGGGCTGTGGCGATGCGGCCGGCGGGACGCGGCCGTGCGGTGCTGCTGGCCCGGCCGTGCCGCGCTGCGCACCCGGCCATGCGGCCGTGCTGACCGCCCGCCCGCCGCCCGCCGCGCCTCGGCCGGAGCCCCCCGAGGAGGAGCCCCGCGGGCGGCGGCAGCGCCAGCGCCAGGTAACGGGGGCGGCTCCGTGCCCCGGCCCCTGCCCTCGGGAATCCCCGGCCGCTGTGCCCGTGCCCAGCCCCACGCGTGCCGCGCTGCGCACCCGGCCATGCGGCCGTGCTGACCCGGCCATGCGGCGGCCCTGCAAGGTGGCGGCGGCCCTGCTGTGCCTGGCCGTGCTGCTGCTGCTCTATCTGCTGGCGGGCAGCGCGGCCCCGCCGCCCGCGCCCTCCGCGCCCGGGCCCCTGCCCTCGGGAATCCCCGGCCGCTGTGACCCGCCCGCCCCGCGGGTCCCCTCGGCGGTGTCGCTTTGGTGCCGGTGCGTCGGGCACTTCCCTCTCCCAGGTGTTCTTCCCCCGCTAGTGATCGGCGATGAAAGACACTCGTGCGAACTGCTGAGGTTCGCAAGTACAAACTTTCCCTGCAGCTTTCCCCGGCAGCGTAGTTGCCAGAGGTGCCACGAAAGGTTTTCGCCGTGCCCGAGCGGGGGTTTCCCTCCTGTGCGGGAGCAGCTTCTGGAACAGCGGCTGTTCCCTGGTCCTGGCCTTGTTTCGGAGGCTGCCGTGGGCAGGGTGCTGCGCTGAGCGCTGCTGGCGCCTCGGGAGCTGCGCTCCGCGGGTTTGCCACGGAAAAGGGAATGCGGCTCCTCACAGCCCTGTGCTGCCGCTGGGTTACAAACTGCGGAGCGCTGGCAGATTTTAAGCTTTCGAGCTTTTTGTTTTGAATGGGTTTTTTTTATATGTAAATTAACTCAGCAGAACTTTAAAGGTGTTTTAAATCGTGGTGTGGTGTGTTTCCTGTCCCAGCACCATACAGGCAGGGTATTTTTTTAAAAACTAATTAGTTGAGAAAGGGCAGCTTTCAGTGGGTGGAGGACTTGTTTTCCCCTTTGCATTCCAATTATATTATGGTCAGTGTGACCTCATATATCTAATTAACTTGGTATGTCTTTGTGTGTCTGATTCATGATTTCACAGAGATGTTCTGAATGAAAGACTATGCCCGTTTCTTGAGCTCTTACTCCTTAACTTATTAAAGCAGTTGGTTTCTCCCAGCATTGTTACCCCACTGAATGCAGGAGATGTTTTCTGGGGCTGAGAGTGGGCCACGGACAGAATTTAAATGCCGGTATTAAAGCAGGATTATTTCCACTAGCAACTGTACCTCCTGAAGTCATTTTTCTTTAAGGCATATCTCTGTGATTATCATGGAAATCAAGAAGAACACTGAAGGAAGGAGCCCGGAAAGTGTGGAACTGCCAGAGAGTGTAAAGAACCATTCCACTTCAAAGCACTTTGCAGTAGCATCTTCATGTTTCACAATTTGACATTATCTAACTTTTTGATTATTTGTTGACTTTGCAAGTCCTTTGTAAAAGGTCTGCAACACAACAGAAAAAAAAAAAAGAGGAATTTAGTATTCAAAGTGTGCATTTTCTTCGGAATTTTGTTTGTGGGGCTTGGTGGTTGTTTTTTTCCTTCCTCATCCTGCACCATTAGCCCCAGCAGGAGTTTGTACAACTGAGAAGCACAATTCTGTAGGTCCTGTTCAGCCATTTGCTGAAAGATTCTGTGTTACATAGTTACTACTGAAATTTATTCAGGTGAGGGTATCCATAAAAAAAGATTTTTTTGTGGGGAGGGCGTGACATAAGTGGTTTGAAGTGGAGGTGATGCTTGCCTTGTTGGAAAGACATCAGGTGGTGGGATCTGCTGGGTTTTAAAAGCCTGATCCAAGCTAAACAGAAAGCACTGTGGGGGGTTTGAATTTGGGTTGTAAGAAACAGGCCATGATTATCATTTTAGTTCCTCCTTATGAGCAAAGGAACTTTTTTTTTTTTTTTTTTTGATGCCAGAGATCCCACTTTATCTAACTGATTCATTCAGGATAATAAATCTGATTAGGACTGTAAGATCTTGTGAGGTGATCACAGTATACATGCGTGTATGAGACTGCAGAATTGATTGACAGAACTTGAATGTAAAACATTTAAATTCAGTTTTGTCAAGTTGGTTTGTCAGTGGATGCAAGTTTTGAGCTCAGCTCAGAAACAAAAGTGTAACTTGGGACTTGTGTTTGCTTCATGAGACTCAGCATCGTGCAGGGAAGATGAATTGTATTTTGACTGGGATTTGTAATACTGCTCTCTGTTGTCCCATAATATCAGAAGACATCGGGTTTTAAGTGTAGAATTTTTTTGACAAAAGAAGCTATGTATAAAGGTTAATGTAGGCACATGTCATTAGCTGGCTGGTGCTTCACAAATGTTAGCAATGACATTCATGTGTCCTGCCTTGGTCATTAGATAATTTGGACAGATCTAGGTAAATTTCTGGTTAGCTTTGAAAGCTTCATTTTTTGTGGTGGTTTTACTGCTCATTCCTGCTAGAAGTAGGAAGTCCTATGCTTTTGGTAAGACTTTTTTTATATGAAGAATTTTAAATACGTGGCAAACCCATGTGTGCAATGTATCAAAAGAAGGAGGATTGTTTTACATTTGAAGGGCAGATGTGAACATGCTCTCTCTTAAACCAGCGTGGGGAGGCAGGGGAAGTGAACCTTCACCAGCACATTTAGTTCCCTGAAAGGAACTTCTCCAATGCAAAACATCCCTTGCATGGCAACCTCTCAAGATACTTTTTCTTTCTGTGCAGCTTGTGTGCACACAGATGCAAGTTTGGCTTGAGTTTGATAATAACATGCCGAAACCCCAAGTATTTCATACTTGTTTCATAAAGAACCCACTTCATAAAAGAAGAGAGAAACATCCATTCTGGTTTTGAGTGGCTTTTCTCCCTTCCCCTGAGTGGTAGGAGAAGGTTGAAACTTCAGCCATTTTTGGATTGACAGCAGCTCCAGTTGGTTTTGTGCAACTGCTGCAAAGTGAGAAAGGTTGATTTAAAAAAATCTGTATTTCAAAGTGTGCAAAAAAATGTGTTTCACATCATGGAGCTGGGACGTTGTTGGGACGTTGACTCAGGGGTGGCTGTAGGGAAGGAGCCTGTTCAGTGAATCACCAGTTTTGATACAATGCCTAAATCTATCCTTGTTTGTGCTGCAAAAGTAAATGAGATCATAATGGGAAGAAGGTTTCAAAAATCAGCAGCTATATTGTATTTTGGAAGCGTCTGCATGCATTATCTTTCAGGAATAAATTTGAAGGCTTGAATAGATTAGCAGACTCTGTAATGAGGTGGAAATGCATTATTTTGAATGGATTTGGATTGATTTAGACAGGTTTTGGGTTAATTATGTTTGAGACACTTTGGCTGTGACTAATAAGAAAATTACATGTAATCTAAACTTTAAGACCTAGGAATGCACACTGTTGTGCTTGAGCACTCAGACTGCTCCTGCTGTGTCAGTGCCTTTCTGAAGAAATTGTATTCAGTAAATAAAAAACGAGCGAGCAGCTGGATGGGAGTTGCTCTGTATTGTTGGAAGGTCTTTGCTGTAAACATTTTATTGTGCTTCATCTTATCGAGGTCAGTCTTCAGCCACTCCGTGGGGATGTGTTCTACAAGTGTTTTGTGATGCTTTCTGGAGTGCTTGATCTTAGTTTGTGTATTTGTTCTTGTCAAACCTATTGAACTGTAGGGCCCAGGTCTCTGCATTGCTTTCAGTTTAATTTAGGTTATAAAACCCAACTACAGAGTGTTCATAACAGACAAGTTGAACTATAAAGGCATGAATGTAAATATTAGGAAGAATTGGCTAATGATAATAATTGCATTACTCTGTGTATCTTTGGGCTTTTTAATGCCTTGGGAGTCTCTTGAGCTGGGAAATTCTTAGAGCTGTAACAGCTGTTCCCATTTGACAGGTAGGACAACTTGGCTGTGTCCTGCACATCTTTAAGGGATGTCCTTCCATCCAGGTGTTCCTCCTGTCCTTTCCATTCTCCTTGCCCTGTATGGGGTGCCTGCATGAACAGGGCAGGGAAGGGGAGCTGGGATCTTCTTTGCCATGTCTGCTTGTTTGCCCTCCAGGCACTTTGACTTTGCCTATTCTACACCTGCCCTGTCTCAGGCTTCTGGATAACTGTTATTTTTTAAAGGCTAAATTAAAATTGCAGTCAAATGCATCCTGCTGTGGCACTGTTTTATCTCCTATTGCAGCTCACCTTTGTTTTCACTGTCCTCTAAGTGTCTTTATGTACTTACAAAGAAGACGCAAAATGTGTCCCAAAGTTCTTCTGTACGTCATTGCTGCTTCTCTCACTGATTATTGCTCTCAGTGTCCCAGACTATGACTGAGGTCAAATAGCTCCTTTTTCTGGGATGTTTATTCCAATTCAGGCCACTCCAGGCTCCTGAACACCTGCAGTGTTGGAAATTCCTCACCTCCAAGGCTCATCTTTCTCCTCCAGGATGTCTGTGTTGGATGTCTGTTGTTATCCCTACTCCCACGGGCTTTCCAGGCATTCTGCTTTCACCAGGGATTGCTTCTGCTGCGTCTGTCCTTTGGAAGTGTTGTCTGCACATACTGGATTTTTCACTGCAAAACAGCTGCATAATGCAGAGCTTGCTGTGGCTAAAACTGCCCAGGAAAGCCGAGTGCTTTGGTGTGGGGTTCTGAAATGTTGCAATAAAAGTGCAGGGTTTAGTCCCTCTCCCAGTGAATTCCATTGCCAGAAACTACATCAAAGCAGCTCCCAGCCTGTGCATGGCTTGATTTAGAGACTCAATTAAGGGGAAACATTACACAGATGGAGAGAAGGGGGGAAAGGTGATCTGTGTGAGCAGCTAATTATTCACTTCAATAATTCAGCAATTTTTACACTAATCGGTTGCAAAGTAAATACCACTTCACATAGATGTAATATTCCATTATTTATACACTGATGAAATTGGGGGTTAATTAGGACTATAGCAGAAGATTTTAAACCCTTAATGAAATGTGTTGCTTTGTACAGTCAGTGAAGTGCCAGTGCCTGGTGTTCCTTTACACAGAGGTGGGTTACTCTGAAGGGTGGAATGCTGCTGTCACACAGAGCAGCACTTCAACGTCTGGAAAAAATAATAACAGCTTAAAACTGTCATTTTTCTCCTTATTTAGAACTTCTGTTTGTAGCATTAACTGCAGTGATTAATTGTGTGTGTGCAATTGTGTGTTCTGAGCAGGGCTGGGATTGATGTGCTCTGCTCAGAGATATGTCCAGAGCAGGCAGTGATCTATGATTTGCCTTTTGAACTCTCCAGGAATGATTACTGTGCCTGGCATTTAGTTGCTTGGTCAGCTCCATCCGGTGTGATGGAGGCTAAGTGCCATCTGTGTTGGAATGTGGATACACCATGGTGCAAGCATTCCTGGAGGATGCAATTTTTACCTCCACACTAAACACAGAACCGAAAGACTGCTTTCAAAAGGTCTTCAGCCCCCCAGGAGAACCTGATTTTTCTGGCTAGCAGGAAGCTTTATTGTGCCTCTTACTGTGTTCCCTGTATCTGGATGAAATGTATTTAAAGCCCACACAGGTGGGTGCTAAGTGAAAATCCCACAGTTTGGCCCTTGGAATATAGTCTGATTCATCTGGGATATGTGACTATATTTGTTTTCAAAAATCTCTATTTTAGCAAAATCTCATGGATTCCATGGGGTGAAATGGAGAGCAGTCCTTTGAAACTCTGCCAGTACCTTCAGGCCACAATTAAGGCATGCATCTTTAATAGAAAATTAATTAACAGAACAATTTACATATGGATGCAGTGGGGTTTTTTTTTAAAGTATGGATGTCTTCTTCCAGTCTAGCCATTAGGGGCTTGGAAATGAAGTTGCTGGATGCAGTTGTGTGATCTGCATTGTGTTACAAAGTTGGCTGGGTAGTTGTAACTCTGTTCTGGCTTGCTGACCTCTGGGCTGGGGAAAGAGCTGTCATTTGCACAGAGCAAGGTGATGTCTGGTTGGAGATGCTGTGAAATTGGCTTCCTCTGTGTCTACAGTTCAGTGATTTTTGCAAACCCAGAAATGTAGGAATAACAGAAAATAGCCTTTTTCTTTATGTTATAATTGTAACACTATTGATCTGTACCACGGGGAGAAATTACCATGCTATTTGCTTGTTCTGTAAATATCTAACCAGAAAAAAACCTCCTGATCCCTTGCAAAATGATGAAGAAAAAAACCCAACCCTTATGTCTGTTAATGGGCAATTCTCTTCATGTCTACATCAGTAATTTTTATGTGCCTATTCCTGAATTTTCAGGAAGCCTGGAGAGCAGAAACACCCAAAGGAGCCCTCCTCCTTGCAGTGCATGCATCTGGCAGTGGTGGCATGTGGGGACCGGCTGGAGGAGACGCTGATCATGCTGAAATCAGCAGTTCTCTTCAGCAGCAGGAGGCTCTGCTTCCACATCTTTGCCGAGGATTCCCTTAAGCCTGAATTTGAGACAAAGGTGAGTTTCTCTGTCATTTGGTAAATAAATAAATAATTAGTTAAAAGTTTTTAATCTCTGAGAAAATTACATTAACATCAACAAGTAGCAGCTGGAGCACGTTGCTTACTGTACACACAAATTCCTTATGCATGCATTTTTTACAAAAGCTCTATAATGTGTAGTGTCTGATTTCCTACCACCATGTCTTTCAGTTAAAGGAGTGGCCTTCCTCATACAGAAAGAAGTTTGAGTCCAACATTTACCCAATAACCTTCTCAGTAGGAAATGCTCAGGAATGGAAAAAGTTATTCAAACCATGTGCTGCCCAGCGCCTGTTTCTTCCGGTAAGGCACCTGGATTTCTGAGTAGGTTGCTTCAGGAAAAGGTTAATTCCAGGAAAGGAAGCTTTGCTGGTGTAATATTAAAACCATTTTCAGGCTGAAACATCTGCTTAAAGATAATTTTAGTCTGTGCTTTAAGACGCTGTTAAAAAAACAGCCCAGAAATCCAGCGTGGCTTTTTCCTGGCTAACAAAGGATGTGTGTTTCTGATTTATCTCCGGTTCCATGAGCCTCTCGGGCTCTCCAGACTCTCCATACTCCAGAGAGAATGTGAGAGCTCTCTCAGGGCAGATCTTTTGGGGTAGATGCTGCGTGCCTTTTGTAAATAACGTTCTTTACAACATGCCCTCTTTACCCACCACCTTCCTTTCCATATGGTAGTCCTTAAACTGATGCTTTCAGCATTCCCTTTTCCAAGACTGTCAGAATTGCCCTTAAGGTAATAATTCCAGTGTGTTTGAAGTGGGATTTCATGCAAGAGCTTGGTCTATCCTGGACTCTTCCAAATCCACTGAAAATTGTATTATACTCAGTGTTGTAAACTTGGAGAGAAGGGAAGTGTTGATACCAATTTTGCATATCAGAAGTTGAAAAACGTTTGCATAGAGCAATTTCTGTGGAACTGAGAACATCTATCAAAAATACCTCGTGGGTTGCTGTTGATTGGGGTGACTCCAGTGAAGTGACAAGCTGTTCACATGATCCAGGTTTCTTCATCGCTGTCTTAGGAGAAGTGGAGGGGGGACAAAGAAATCTTTCCCCTCTCAGATGGAAGCAATCAGAGACAGCTGCGTGTCCAGATATGTAGCCTGTGAATACATATGTGAGAAAATATGTGCTGTCAGCAGTTCTGCTGATCTGCCATTTCGGGGTGGACTATCAACAGCACAAAGGCCAGATGGGCTGGAAGTAACTCCAACTGCAGCAGGGATCCTCTCTCCCCTGAGTAAATATTTGTATCACCTGGAAGATAATCCCTAAGCGTGAGTTTGTTCCATACAGGGTCAGGATGTCCTGGGTAAACAGAAATCTCTGTTCTTCTGGGATACTTTCTGTCATTCTGGGAGACTAATCATAGGAATGACTTAACTTTTATTTCTCTTCACTGTTCTGATGACAGAAAGGGGTTGTTACGCATTCATGCTGATTCCTTCAGGCTGGGCTTTTACTGATTCCTTTTTGTCATTCTTACATTGCTGAAGTTCTCCAGTAACTTCTTTTAAGGAGTATTAGACTGTTGCTTGTTGTGTTAGCAGAATGAGGGGGCAGCTGTAGATGTTTGTTTCTCTAGGGGCAGTTGCAGAATGCTGTGTGTGGTCAGGCTGAGGTTTATGGCTGTGAGTAGGAGGGGCTGTCCAAGAGGAGTTGCAGCTGACACGGAGCTGATGTGGGTGTAATAAACAAGCTGTCATCATAGCTGAGGTGGCAAATGTCCTGGGGGACCCTCAAGGTTTGGTGCTCGAGTTCACAGGCTGGCACAACCTTAGGCTGTGTTTGGGTAATTCCAGCCATTAATTTGGTTTTTTGGTGTTTGATAACTGGGTTCTAATATTCCACTTGAACTGCCAGCACAGAATGGGAGCAGAGGGTTCCAAGTGTTCACTAGTTCACTGTTTAGAGAACTAGTTTTATTTTTAATAAATACCAGCAGAATATCAGTTTGGGTTTTTTTCATCTTTCTCTGTACTGAGCACTTTTCCCTGCAGCAGCATGAAATGTGCCCGGATCTAGGGAGGACCCCAGGAGAGCAGTAGTTATCAGCTGCTTAACTCTCAGTTGTGCAAATTGTCTTGCTCCTGATAATGCTAAGCCCGAGTGGAATGCGAGTCTTTGATTCACAAGTGCCTTTCTTGCCAAAGAAATCTCCTCTGCAGCACCAGCAGGCGAGTGAAAGTGGACAGGAGGGTCTGAGGAATGTGTTCGGGGAAAATTGGGTAAGAATATTCCAGTGGTTTTACCCAGTGATGAAAGTAGAGCTGTGGGATGTGACCCTGCAGTGTGCAGTACTGAACTGTTCTGTCCTGGGCAGCAGGTTGAAGTGCACATTCCCAACTTGTTGGCTCTGCCCAGGATGCTAAAATATTCAGGAAGACTGTACATCCTGCGTTTTCAGAGGAATTCTGAGACATCTGATCACATTTGCCACTTCGATGCAGGAGACTCTGTGTAATCTCAAAAGTCAATCTCCTGCTGCACTCTGCTGCAGCAAAACCATCCAGGGCATTTTTAGAGACACAGGGAGGAAGATGTAGATCTTTTTGTAAGCACAGAGTGAAACTTTAACATTAAACTAGGAGGGCAGTGCTCTCAGCAGTCCCTGGGAACTGGTTTGTGCTCCTGCCACGGGTGTTAAGACAGCAGGTGAGGAACATCCTCTGGTCCCAGGGATGTTGGTCCCTCAGGGCTGGCTGCAGCTGCCTCCGTGCTGCTCTTCTGGAGCTACCAAAACAATCAGCTAAAGTATCCTGAAATGCCTAAGGGATTTTTGGATGATTTTTGGATGAACATTTAGAGCCCTTCTCAAAACACTTAATCTACTTAAGAGCTTTTAAGATAGATTAGCAATATCCCTGTGTTACAGCCTTGCTCTTGAGGGATGCTCAAGTATCCAGCCCAGTGGGAATAGATGCCAGGGCCTTATCTAGACAAAAGTCTCTGCTGTAACTTGAGTTAATCTCTTACTACAATGAGGTTTAGTAACTCGACTTTGTGGCACTGTTACTCTAGCATTAAGCTAAGTGTTCTGTCCCTAATTTTGGATAAAACTGTGCTAAGCTGCCACATGAGCCCTCACAAACCCTTAGGTAGCCCAGCTTCACAGTACACCAGCGTGTGTTTACTCAGGAGTGGGTTATTCTTTGCCAACCTTGCTAACACAGGGAGAATCTATGGAGACAGAAGTTGTGAAATCAAATTACAGATAATTGAGTATTTAAGTGAAGTGCCAGGCTAAATATAGCCAGTTCTGTGCAGAACTTTTTGACAGATTTACTAAGAATACTCTGTATAGCGGCAAGAAAAAAAAAAAAGAAAAAAAAAGAAAAATCACACTTTTAAAATGTGTAAGTGCCTGCAGAGCAAGGGGAAGACAAGCAGAGCAAGCTGTATTTCTGGCCATTCCTTTCCAAAATCCCAGGCTGTCAGGTATATCTGCATGGTTTGTGTGAGCTCAGACCTCCAGCCACAGCCTGGCAAAGCTCCTGCTCTAGGTCACTGTGTGTCACTTTTAACCTGCACTGCAAGTTCCTGCTCTCTGAGGAACTCCCACAGCTGCAGTGGGTGAAATTAAATCCCTCCTACCCAAGGCACAGCCTGGAGAGATGTGAGCAATTCAAACTGACATCCGCAGCTTTTAAAGGAGTCTTAACACTCAACATGTGAAAGTGGGAAGGGCTTAAAGGAGGTAGCACAGCTCTTTTTTAGCTACTTGGGTGTCATTGCAGGGCAACACCTTGGACACAGGAGAGGAAGAATCTTTTAACCAGCAGAAAGGAGGGCATGGGAATCCTGAGAGGAGGAATGCAAGGTGGGATCAGGTGCTGGTAGGCACTGCACAAAGGACTGCAGTACCTGCTTGAATCTGTAGGAAAATTACAACAGTCCATGGACTTGCACAGATTTAGATTTATTTGTGTCTTGAAATCTGCTGAAAGAATGTTTTTGTGCTGGAAGAAGCAGTGGCCAGGCTGGCACTTATGCTTGGGAGGGATGAGGAGAGTCTGTAGGTACCTGTTAAACTTCCCCCTGAACTGGGGTAAGTTTTTCCTGCTGGAAGATGCCTCAATTTGCCTTTTTACCAAGGCCCCCTTAGAAAAAAATCTTAAATGCTCTGCAGTGTCCTGTGGACCCACAGGCAAAGTCTGCTCTGCTTGTATTGCAGTGTTACCTCTGGAACCTGTGGAATTTAATCTGTCTCAGACTAAATTTGGGGATGATTTTTCTTTTTCTAATGCATTTTGTTTCTATGTGACTCCATATAGCAGGTCCCTAAAAATCAGGACTCCTAGATGCTGCAGAATAATTAATACACAATACCCAGGATATCCTTAAACTGAAATCCTTTTTTCTTTTCAGACTTTCTTCTCTTGATTTATTCTTATAGTATCTGTCTTTTTTATTGGTTTGTTTTTTTAATACTGGACTTGAGGATACTTAACATCTGCAAATATTCACTCTGAGCTCCTACTGTATTACTGTACAATTTTTGTCACTTACTTACAGATACCTCCACATGGTGGTTTGTGGGGCTTTTGTGGGAAAATGCTGTATTGCTATAATCTTCCATCCAGCAGAGAGATCTGGACTGTGTTGAATGTGTTTACTTAGAGTTTGTTGTACACCTAACTTTTGTTTAAAATGCAGAGACAGTTCCTTCTGCAGCCTGCCCTGTGCTGTAGGAAGAACATGTAGTTATCCTGTCAGAAATGCAGGTCAGGGATTTGTTAAACTTGACTGAATGTCAGTCTGAATCCCAATGTGTTGAGTCAGGTGAAAAATCTCATTTAAGTCTTTACTCAGGGATTTGGCATCTTAGTGGATTCCTGTTGAGCATGCTTAGAGATGATATTTTTCACCCACTTTTTCACCCATCAATCCTAATGTGTTTCACTCTTATTTCACATGTAATCCTCAGTCACAATACATTAGAATTTATGTAAAACCCAATTTCTTTGGTAGAATTGCTTTTAACTGCAGAAACAGGAGAGTTTGTCATTAATGTCATTGCAGTTGGATGAGAGAGTGATTGTTGTGTTCCACACGGTGAAAATCCAAAACCTTTTGGGTTTGCTTTTTGAAGAAAGAGAGAGAAGTAAATAGGGGTTTTGGCTAGACCAAAGTAAGAAAATTTCAGTCCTTCAGGAAATTTTGGACAGCTTTAGCAAATAATGAAGAAGAGCAATGAAAATGCAGTTGGAACTGGTGGTCAGCTGTAGGTAATGATCTTTACTACTTTACAAAGACTTGAAGCACCAGGTCATTTGTCTCACCATGGATATTAGTGCAGGAGTGTGTAAGGATTTGGGCAGCCACAAGGGGGAACATGGCCAGCAGGAACCGCTGAAATATCCTGGCTCTAATCTGCAGTTACACCCTTCTGACCTGACCAACTTTACTGTGGTTGTTCCTCATACAGAATCTGCTAATAGAGCTCAGAATATGACCTGGTGTATTTTAATGTGACATTCCTGTTTAACGACCAAATTTTGTTCTTCAGGGGGATGCACATGTGTTGGTGATCAATGGGATTGTCTTAATTAATGTGAAACAGTTGTGTATATTAATTATATATGAAGGTAAGTCTAAATATTCTGGACTCCTGGGTTACCTGGGTTATCCTTTCTGACAGTGGAGATCTTGAAAACAGCTCTGTAAATACATTTTATGTACATGTAATTTTTGAACAGGAACTAAGTAGTCCTTGCAGGTGTTTTTGGGAGCTCGATGAATTGCTGCTTCATAAGAAGGTTAATCCAACCTCAGTGCTCTGGTAGCTGCTTTATTGTGCAGTTCAAAAAATACCCACAGCAAGCAACAAACCAATAATCCGATAACTGTTGTTCCTCTGTGTAATTACACTTACCTGATAAATCAATAACCTCCTCCAAATTACCAGTTTAAAGTAAAAGTCCCTTCTGCCAATAATCTTTGTGTTTTCCTCCTCTCTGATTTGTTTCTCACCCTGCTGCGCAAACCCCAAAGGTGATTTTAAAGGACGTGGATTCCCTGCTTTACGTGGACACTGACGTGCTGTTCCTGAGGCCCATCGATGACATCTGGCACCTCCTGAGGGAATTCAACTCCACCCAGCTGGCTGCCATGGCCCCCGAGCACGAGATCCCCAAGATTGGCTGGTACAGCCGCTTCGCCCGGCACCCCTTTTACGGCAGCACCGGCCTCAACTCCGGCGTGATGCTGATGAATTTGACGCGGATCCGCAGCACCCAGTTCAAGGTGAGAGCGCACGCAGCTGTTGCAGAAACTCAGGATTGGTGTGTTTTCACATCTTGGAAAGCTCAGTGTAAAATGGCGTGATGGTCGTAATACGGAGAATCAGAGAGATATGGAATATGTGTAATTGGATGCTAAAAGCTGGTGTGAAAGTGATTATGAAAATAAATGAAATTTCCTCAAGGCTGGAGCAGTGAGAACTTTCAGCTGAAGCAGTCTGGTAGCAGTGTTAAAAATGGCTTCCTCAACTTCTTACATTTCTCTGAAAAGATACATGAAAGAACAAACTCAAGGATCTTCAGTGCAAGTTTCCAATTTTAAAATTGGAAAGCTTGATGTGAATATCCAGAGAAATTGGTGATTTTTGCATCTGTTATGAAGAGACTTTTGCATCCTGCTGCAGGTATGTGACTCTGTGAACTGGTGTAAGTGAGAAGGGAACATTTTCACAACAGATCCATGTCACTGAGCACGTATTCTCTAATCACTAAAACTTTGCTTGCCCCAAGGGGTTCCTCAGGCAATGCCAGGGGTTTCCCACATTGTTACAGGAACAGCTGGAAACAAAAAAAAACCCAAACATTGTTCTTATTACTGTAATTCCCAGGGAAGATGATCTTTAGTCTGGAATTTTCCCTGCTTTTATACCTTGGTTTTCACCTTGTCCCTGCATTTTTCACTTTTTCCCCCTCCTGTTACTTGGAATAGGAAGATTGTGAATAGCAGGAGCTGACATCAGAGCTGGGCCCAGGAGACTTTGTTTTCCTGTTTAGATAAACACAGTGAGTTCTGCTGTTGCAGCCCTGTCCAGGTCCAACATTTCCTGGTAGTTTTTAATTTTTCACCTGGGTGTCCAACATGGCTTAGCAGAGCTTAGAGATTTTTGTGTGCCCACTCTGGGTCAGATACCACAGCACTGACCATGACATTAACCCCTTGCTTCTGTTTTCCTGTCCTACAGAACAGTTTGATACCAGGTGGCTTGACTTGGGAGGAAATGTTATATCCATTGTACCAAAAGTACAAAAATTACATCACGTGGGGAGACCAGGATTTGCTAAATATCATTTTTTACTTTAACCCAGGTAAGGAATGATTCTTGGAGTCTTCATTATCTGTGTTGAGAAAATAACTTGAGCTTGATTTTTTTAACTGATATTTGTTGTTCATAATGTGCATAAATACTCTGGTATGGAGTTATTATGTAACTGCATCCTCAAAGGATTTATAACCTATGAAAATATTTCTGACATAGCTGCAGGTAATGGGGCTTGGACTTGGTTCCATTGAATGTATAAATCTGTTTTCTGGAGATTTGAGAAAATAATGAGGTGTAAAAGTAATGATTAAGTGAAGGGGTGAAGTTCATGTTGTCTGTGTGCTTCAGGGTATCACTGGACCAGGGTGTAGCTGCAAAAATGTTTTTGTTTCAGATGTTTATCTGAATGTGAAAGTGGCAAACTTTCTGCAAAGCTAAGCCCTGTTTTTCTGAAATTCAGCTGACTTGTGATAATTATGCAAATCAGTAACAAAGGTAATATAGAGAGAAAGTGGACACAGCCATTGAAATATCTCATGTAAAGCAGCTTTCAGCCTCTGAGCTGAGTGACCCGGCCTCAGCAGGCACCAGATGATGTCATTGATGTCCTGCTGGTGAGAAATGCAGGGATTTAAACATGCTGGAGCATAGCACAGACTTCCCAGAGAAGCTGAGAACCACATTTCACGCTTCTAAATGGATGCTGAGTATCCATCCCTACTGCTTCTCCTGGTTTCCTATGTGACCTTGTCACCTTAACTTATCTTAAGAATAAACCAGGTTTGGAATTATCTTTATTTATTCTGCTCTCTTTTCTTTTTCTCTGGGGAGTCACAGGGTAGGTAATTGGATATACCCAAATCCAGGCAAACTGCTGGAGTGAGGAGAAGCAAAGCAAAAAGCAAACATCTGTTTACTGCAGACAGATGTCAAACATCAGTGTCCCATAGATTACCCCTGGTCCTAGGGAAATAGAGAGTGGGAATTAATTTCCAAAAAGAAACAAATGTTATGGGAGCATGGTCTCCTGGAGAAACAAAAATATGGAGCCAGATTAGTTGTGGAGACAGACACAAACTGTTCACTGAAGTGTGCAGGAAAAAAAAAAAAAGGCTGCAAAAATACTTTGGTATTGTGATGAGTGTTCTCTGTCAAAGCTACATATGGAGACTCTTCTGCACCACAGTCTGTCCTTTACTCAGAACTGGTAAAGAATTTTTTTATAATTGTGACTGCTCAAGAAAAGAAAATGAAAGAACTGTGTACCATTAGCACAGAAAACTGGACTTTCTGGGCTCTTAAGCTCTGGGTTGTTGTGACTGGCTGGGGAGGGAATTGGCCAAGACTGCTGTAGGTGCCTTTTTATAGATGGGAGTTAAAACCACAGCAAGCTCTGTTCCCCGGGCCTGAGGAGCTGCTCCCTTTGCCCATCTCCAAAGATTGCTGTCCCTTTCTGAAAAACTCTGCTGGAGAGGCCTTAAGGGAAGAAAAGTTCAGAAAGTTTTTCTTCTGCTTTTCAAGAACCTCACGAGACCAGCTGCAGGCTTCCTGGGAAGCTGGGAAAGGCCAAGGGAAGAATTCAATCTTCAGTGCTTATGCCATGCCCTGCTGGCACCAGCCATCATTCATTGTTCCCCAGGGCCAAGGCAGAAAGGTTGCAGGGACTGGAGTGATTTATGACAAACAGATTGCAAGCACTGTGTGCCTGGAGTTTAAAAAAAATCACCAGGAGAAAGAGAGTTATGAGCCCTTTTGAGAAATTAGGCTCATCTCTAAATAACCTAGACCTGTGAAATTAATGGATGATGACTCTTTGGAGGGCTGTGGATAAAATACACCACCCCTTATGCTCTGCTGTGTAACAGATTGTCATGGCCTCTGTGACAGCTTCAGCAGCAAACACTGGATATACTTTGCAAGTTTTCCCTTGCTGGCTTCAGGAGGAGTCTGGATTTTTCATAACCCCACTGCTGTGTGTGCTTCCCCAGTCGTCCCTGTCACTCCAGAGACTCCTTCCTGTGGCACAGGGTGCTGGACAGTGCCACCTGCTGTGTGCTCTCTGGTTTGGTTCTTCCACTAAAGCTTTCTGAAGGGCTCCCTTGGGTTGTGTTCTGTCCCAGATTTTGTGTTTCCTGTCTGTGACCAGCAGCTGGGGGGTGTAGCCATCCATGAGGGAAGGAGGTGTCTCTGCTGGGGATACTCGCAGAAGCTGTGACTGAACATTCCCCGATCATCGGTCCCAGGCTGGTTTGATTTGTTGTAACTCTTGTCTGACGTGTCTCCTCTCCTTCCCTGTGCCCTGCTGGCGTGGGCAGAGTGTCTGTACGTGTTCCCCTGCCAGTGGAACTACCGGCCTGACCACTGCATGTACGGCAGCAACTGCAGGGGGGCGGAGGAGGAGGGGGTCTCCATCCTGCACGGCAACAGAGGCGTCTACCACGACGACAAGCAGCCCACCTTCAGGGCCCTCTACGAGGTGATCCGGGATGTAAGTGCTGCCTCCGCAGAGCCGCTCCCTGTGCCCCAGGCTGGCTTCACTCAGGTTGCTGTGCCAGCCCTCACGCTGCCTAGTTGTGTTTGTGTACATGAACATGGCTGCTTTGGCTTCTCGTGCGTTTGAGGCAGTTTAGACATTTTTCTTTTGTATTATAGTAATCAAGAAGGCTGATCAATTGCTTTTCTATAGTACTGAAGGTAGAAACAGCTGGCGTGGAGTTTCTCATGCTGAGGCTGCAGCTCTGGTCCATAAATTCCCAGGAAAGCTTGTCCTTCCTGAGCACCTCAGCCCTCCAGGCATATAGAGAGCAGAATCTTGTCCGTAGGCACAGGTGGGATGTTGTGTGTGTACAGCTCTGCTTGCCAAAACTCCTGTTTCCTTACAGTATCCTGACATTAATAAAATTTCTGTCAGTGCACTCTCTCAGGCAGGCAGGATGTGAAGTGATGGGGTTGGTGACACTTAGCAGGTGAGGGACAAGACATTCCCTACCTATGGAATGTTTTCTCTTACAGAAATTTATAAAATGCCCTTTCACAACTAGCGAAAACTAAAAATTCTTTTTTGTTTCTTTTCCTTAGTTTCCATTTGAAGACAATCTCTTCCAGTCTTTGTACTACCCTCTGCAGTCGAGGTTTCTGGATACAGTGCACACTTTATGTGGGAGAATTCCACAAGTATTTTTGAAGCAAATTGAGAAAACTATGAAGAAGGTGTATGAAAATCGTGTCATTGTGTACTTGGGGGCCAACCACAGATACTAACTGTAGCTCTCTTACACAGAAGTTTTAAGTCTTGTACTCCATTTCATGAAGGATACAAATGAAGAATATGAACTCTTCTACTCAGAATTAAAATATTTCTATTTCCAGTTCCAATTTTCTAATAACCCTTGAAATTACAAAAAGCAGGAAATCCTAGAAGCCTACTGAGATTGTTGCTGAGAACAGCAGGAGAATCCTTTCTTTGTGGAATACAGTTGTGGCCTGCCACCCCAGTCCCTTACAGTTTAAGGAGGTATTCTCTCTGCAATGTGAATTGCATTAGGCACAGTCCAGGACTATTGTCAGTGAAGAGTACAAACCCAGGTACTGGTGATCCATCCTCCTCTTCAAGTGCTGTTCCCTGCACAGCAACAGCAGTATTCCACTGCCACACGATTTTCCATCCCTGCCATGGGAGATGGCCAGGGCTGCCCCTGACTCCCCTCTCCTGCATGGAAATATTTCTGCCTGGCACTTCCATTTCTGGGATCACAGGACCACAGAATTCTAGAAGGGACCATCATGGATATCTTGTTCCACACCCTGCCATGGGCAGGGACATCTTCCACTAGACCAGGTTACTCCAGCCCTGTCCAGCCTGGCCTTGGACACTTCCAGGGATGGGGAAATTGAGACCTTTATGCTGGGATCAAAATGAATAGCCTCAAAGTGGAAGAGGATACAAAATGGCTTTGATGTTTATTTAAAATACTTCATTTAGTTTAAATTTCCAAGGTATGATCATCATCTTCTGATAAGCACAAAGAGCTTGTTTAAATTGCAGTAGCTGAAAGGTGTTTGGGACCATTCCCTGGGGAACTGGAAGGGAGGACACTCCTGCAGAGCAGCTATCCAAGAGCACACTCACTCCTAAAGAGCAGTGATCCAAGAGCAGACTCCCAGAGGGCATTTTCTAGGTGTAAGCCCCATGGCTGTGTGTAGGAGTGCTTCAAGGAAGCAGCGGAGAAAATGATGTTACTTTTCAAGTCTGTTGAGCAGAAAACATCAGCCATTACTTGGAACTGCTCATTTTTGTATCTAACAGGCAAAGGAGGAGCAGGGTGGGCAGGGTGAGATAATGGAGCCTTCCCCTAATGAAAGGAAAACTGGCACAGATGAAATATCCTGTATATGTATCATACATTTGTTAGAGAGAAATGCTTGGGGACTGTGGATGAGGGAAAGGTTATGTTCCCAAAGTTAAAATAGGATTTCTGAGGAATTGCAGTTTTGGGCGTTCTCCCCTATCCAGTCAGGGTTTCATATGAAAACACCAGAGTCTCCCTTTTGTCTCATACATTTCTCTCTCCTTGTGTGGCAGTTCCTGAGAGGAGGGAAAGCACGACCTTGGTGCCATCCCAGGCTGCCAGGTAAGAGCCTGTGCAGAGGATGGAGTCCCAACAAGCTTTTCCCAAGGCCTGGAGTGCGAGAGTGTCTGTGACACAGCCTGGCAGAGAGCAGGGCTGCGGGCAGCTGAGCAGGGGAGCAGTGGGACAGGGGCTTGGAGTAAGGGACAGCAGAACTGCAGGACCTCACAGGAGTGACAGGAACAGAAACCTTGTTTGCACCTCTGCTGCAAATCGTAATCACAGTTTGGTTAAACAGCGTTCTGACTCCAGCCCTTATCTCACAGCGTTTGCCACCGGAGTGTAAATTGACATGTGAAGGACAGAGGCAGCTCGACTGTTGTGATTGAAAGCCTGGGACCCAGAAAGTCATTTAAACTTGAGCAGAGGTGCCTTTCCAGCTTGCCTTAGGATTTTCTATTTCAGCTGGAGTTTCAGTTGCCAATTTTTAAGCAAGAGTACCCTTCTACCTGCTGAGAGAAGTTTGAAATGTAACCCAAATGAGCATTGAAGATTTCAGAACCAGAAGGCAAAGAAAAGAAGGTAAAGCTGCTGATATAAAAAGTCTAAAATAATGTATGACAGGTAAAACCTTTAGGCCAGCAATTCTGAGAGCTTGTCTAAAGTATTAGCTTGCTTTTAGTCTTTATTTTCAAGTGTCAGGGTACAGCTGACAGAGGTCTGAGGAGGCTGGTGGAGCTGCATGCTGGGCAGGCTGAATTCCTGATTTCCATGGTGTCTCCAAGGCACAGGCAGCTGCAGAGCACAGCCTTGCTGCCCAGACAGTTGCACCCCAGTGCTGAGGCTCTGGAGTTGGGAGGCTGTGGTTGTGTAAGCTGTGATTCAGCGGAACCCTGCAACTACAGGCACATTCAAATGAAGGAGTGGAATTCATTACAAAACAAAGGCATTGTTGCATATGAACTGATAAGAGATTAAAGCAGTGCTTTTTGTGTTCACAGGAGGTGCTACATTTTGTTTAGGATGAACTGAGTTGTGTTCTCAACAGCTATTAAATATATGAAGTACTTGCTTTAACATGAAGACTCTTGTTAATTTAATATCAGCTGGCAGGAAGAATGGGGGAGGTTCCCCCCTGCTGGGCTTTTTCTGAGGAAAAAAGCAATAATTTGAGCTCTCCAAAGTGTTTTAAAACAATTACGTAACTTTGTTTTTTGTTGTTGTTAGAATTATTAATTTATATTTCACTACAGCTTCCAAAACCATGTTATACTTTATTTTTAACAGTAGTTGATTGTAATATTCATTTTACTTAGAAACCAGTTTTAATTCATTTTGTATTTCATACTTGTGGCTAATTCCATGTTAATTAGCCTTCATTTATCTTAATAATGGGATGTGTAAATACTTACAAAGACTTTATGTCCTCATTTCCCCTTCCTCTCCCGTGTTTTAGTTATTTCCAGTGGTATAATGGATAGAGCTCAGCAGCGTTTTGCTTACAGGGGAAACTGGAAACTGCTCAGTGTGTGTGTGCACAGCACGAGCATGTGTGTAACAAATGTCCCTTTTCTCTGTCACTGAATTGCTTGTGGATTTTTCTTTGACAAATGCACTGATTGTTACAGCTCCCAAGGAGGCTGAGCAGTGCATTTCTGAGTTGAAGGCGATCCCTTGGCTTACAATACAAATAAATGAAATTTTAAGCAAGCTCTACAGTTTGATAGTTTTCTTTTAAATACAAGATTTTGTGCTGGTCTGATTGGGATAGAGTTTTGTAGGTGTGATGTTTTAGTGTGTGTATACCAGGTTTGACAGCAGGGAACACAGATAAATGTTCCTCTTTTACAGTTTTACTGTAGTGAAAGAGTCTGATATTGGATATAAAGAGAGACAAATACATTTAACTTCCCCCAAAGTGCTCGTGTGTCCTGCTGCAGCTCCAGCTGTGTTACGGTGAGCGTAGATCAGAACCTTCTCTCAAAGGAAACTGGAGTTTTATCTTTTATTCTTTACTGTTTCTCCATAATGTTTCACTCTCTGGACGTCATTTAGCATCATTTCCCCTCCCTCCTTCTTGTATGCATTTTTGACATTCTTGTGTGGTCGCTGCTGTGCTGTCCTTGCTTGTGACATCTCTTTGTGACATCTCTGTGTGACAGAAGCTGCTGGGCTGTCTGTTCAGCCAGATCCTGGTGCTGACACTGCTCCCAGCTGGGTGATGTGTTGGGCTCAGCCTCAGCTCTCAGAAATCAAGAATAAGGCTGTCCCTGACATGGATGGGCAGAGGTGGGCCAGCTGTAAAACCGGCCCTGTGTAGGTCCTGGGAAGGCTCTGGGTGTGTGTTACACACTCACAGTCACACTGCTCGGTGAGCCAGGGTTTTTCACTTGCAAACGTGGCTCCAGCCAGTGTTGCTGTGGGGAGAATAGAGATTTCCCAAGCTGGGAATAAAGTACAACTAAAGAAAGAAATAAACCTTGACACTTTATCAACTGTCAGAGAATCCTTTTCTCCTCTCCATCAGGTGCAGTAAAATGTGATGGTAGTAAATGGAGAGTGAGCACCCCTCCAGAGGTGGGATGGGATGGGGCAGTCACCAGGATCATCCCTGCAGGGGCTGGAAACGTTCCCCACTGCTCTTGGGGCAAGTGCTCGTGTGTGCTGGGGTCAGCCTGCTCCTCCCGCTGGCATAAGGAATTGTTCAAAAGAAAGAGTGATGTTTGGAAATCTTGCTTTCATTCTGGATCAGAATAAAAACCAACTGTCAACACTTCCTTTGAAATGAAAATGGCGACAAAACACCAAATTGAGAATCAGCATGGAAGACGAACAAAGCGCTTTGTTAATGTTTTCTTTTGAGGTAAAATACTTTGGTTTGACTTTCACATTTCTGTAAATACACCTTAATTGCTGCTGTTTCTCCACTATAGCCCAAAAGTGTGTATGTATAGTTTTGGTAATTAATGCTGAAATAATGACACAGAAATAACAGGGCTCTTTATTTTAAATAAAGACCTGTTCTTGTAGAAGCATCTTTTCCTGAGTCCTCTGAAAATGTTCACTCCCTCCTGTGAGGGTTAGAACTGTGCACAGCAGGTGCCTTCTCAGGGTTCACACCTTCAGGGAAAGATCTCCTTCCCATTCTGCTCAGCACTTCCAGAGGCCACCACGCTTCCAAAGGGCACACCTCACACCTGAGGCTCCAGGTGAGAAAACAGGGCTGGTTTTAGTCTGACTGGCTCCAGAGTTTGTGGAGTGATGTCAGGAAGCTCTTGTCCCAGGGATGTACTGGGAGGAAGGTGTGAAATACAGCTTGGAAAGAAAACTCTGCTGGCCAGTTTGCCATGGGCTCTTGGATTAATAGGAGACAATCCCTGGGGACTTGCTGGGGCCAGTGCCTGAGCCAGGTAAAGGCTGAATGATTGTCACATCTGACTATTCCTTGGGTTTTTTTGTATCTCCTGTGGGTAATCTTTCAAAAGAAACAGCTCCCACAAATACAGTTTTTCTTTTTTCAGCCTCTTTTTTTAAGGCACTGGGTGTAAGCTGTTCTCATCTTTTGATATCCCAAGTCTTCCAGATTTTTTAAAAGCACAATAAAGATTTTTAGGCATTTTCTCAGAGGAGAATCTTAATTTGTCTCAAGGTGGCTGTGATATACTTTAAAGAAAAAAAAAAACCCAACAACTTTCCTTCCAGAGATCCATGATTTTTAGTGCCAAGTTATTGTACCGTACTCAGGTTTGCAGCTATAAATTTAAACAAAATCTCTATGCTCCTTTTTTAAATCCTTTGGTGTGTATCCATGTACAGTATTTTCTGAAGACCTAAGTGGGTCTTGAAATAGAAGATTGTTGTCATTTTCTTATTGTTCTCACTGGATTCTGCTGCATCTCCCTTGCTTGAATGATGTATTGAATTGCTACAGATTGTTTCAAAGCACAACAATCAATTTTGGTTCAAACTGGGTGGAAATACCTTACAAATTGCCGTCACACTTCAGTGAAGGGAAACTGCTTTATGTCAAGTTGGGTCAGGGCTCTCTAGATACCTAATCTAAGCTTCATTACTGAGAGCAGAAGTAGCTGCTGGTCTTACACCACAAATAATTTTAATTATTGATCCATGCCCAGGGGTTGAACAGCCTATATCTCTCAAAAAGTACATTTTAAAATCTGAAACGTAAATCTTAATGAGGCTTTGTGTAAATTTAATGGAAGAAAAAAAACCCTGGATTGTAAAACAGTTTCTCATTGTTCTTTATCTAGATGTTTAAACCACCACATCTTCCCCAACAAGGTGATTATTCTTATTATTGGGTCTCAGTGAATACAAGCAGGCTGGGAGCTGACACAAAATGAAATCATCCTCTCTGTGTACATTTTTATTACAAGGTGTGTCAAATACCTTACAAGGAGTAATTATAATTTATGTTTCATTAATGAAGAAGCTCAGGCATGATTGCCTCACCCGTTTGCCTGAGATCACACAACAAACTCATGATGAAACTGCCTACAAGCTTTTTGTGTCCTAGGATTACATTTAAATGTTTCAGCTTTGAAAATGGAAGGAAAAGGTGATTTGCTGTGAACTGAAATCTTTCCCAGTCAGTAGAGGGGGCTGGGTTAGAGCCTCTTACCTGCTCTTTGCTTCACCTCGGCACCTTGGCCAGGAAGGAGTGACAGCTCTGCCAGGGCTTCACGTCCCCAGAGCCAAGAGCTGGCACAGGATGGGCGAGGGGATCCTGCCAGGAGCACAGGGAATGTGTGCCAGGCTGGAGGAGAGTCTCCTGCGGGAGTCTGAGGGGAGACCTCGCTGCGATCTTCACCATCCTCGCCAGGAGAGGCAGAGGGGACAGGTACCGATCTCTTCCTTCGCTGCCGTGACCAGTGACAAGACTCGAGGGAACGGCATGAAGCTGTCGGGGAGGTTGGGGTGGGATATTAAGAAACGATTTGTGCCCCCAGAGGGTGCTGGCACTGCCCGGGCTCCGCAGGGAATGGTGCGGGCCCCAAGGCTGCCAGAGCTCCGGGAGCGTTGGGACAGCGCTGCCAGGGGTGCTCAGGGTGGGGTTGTTGGGGTGTGTGTGTGTGCACGCTCAGGAGCTGGACTGGATGATCCCCTTCCAGCTGGGGATCTTCTGTGATCTTGAGAATAAAAACACAGGCTCGTCCTTGCACAAACGGGGGAGCGCAGTCACCCTCAGCCTGAGAGCGGGGAGGAAAGAAAAAGAGCTCTCCGAAGGGCCGAGGCGTGAAGCGGGGACGGCTCCGCGTTCCCTCCCCCGAGGATCCGCACGGCGGGGCCGGCATGAGGAGGACGATAACCCGGAAAAGAAGCCCAGAGCCGCCTCAGAGCGCGGCTGCCGCTCGGACGCTGCGGCCGAGCCTTTCCCGCCGCTTTTCCCGCCCCTCCCTCACGGCTGCCGGCCCCGCCCCCTGCCGCGGGACCCCGTTAACCCCGCCCCCTCCGCGGGACCGCCCATTGGCTCCGCCCCGTGGCTCCGCCCTCGGCGGGCGGGGCCGCGGGGCCGCGCACGGGCACGGCGCGGGCGCCATGTTGGAGCGTCGCTGAGCGCGGGGTCTTGGTGTGAGCGCGGCCCGGTCTGCGCGGGACTGGGGCGGGGGAGCCGCGCGGAGCCGCGGGGGAATCGCCCGGGCGGATCATGGACGTCGAGAGGCTGCAGGAGGCGCTGAAAGGTGGCGGCGAGGCTGGCGGCGGGGGCTGGGGGAGCGGTGTCGCCGCGCGGAGGGGAAGACTGAGGTCCCTCAGACCCTGTGGGGGGAGCGCCCCTCGCTGAGGGCGACGGGTCCCCGCGCTGTGGGGAGGGGGCTGCTCGCTGGAGGAGGGTCCCGCAGAGTGGGGAGAGCCCGGGGGTCGTTGTGGGGAAGTGGAGGGCAGAGCCCCCGGTCTCCCTACCCAACGACCCTTGGGGCTGTGTGCGGGGGATCGGTGACTCTCGGGTCTCCCCGGCTGCCGTCCTGGACTCCCCGGTCTGGCCGCCCCTTCTCCCCCATTCCTCCCCCGCATCCCGGCCCCTTCCCTCGCATCCCGGCCCAGCCCGGACCTGTCCCCTTCTCCCTCCCCAGCCCTCTCTGTTCTGGGCTCAGCTTGAGGAAATCGGTCTCTTTCTGTGCCGTAGCTGCTCAGAAGTTGCAAATCAACTTTTGCTACTCGGCTGCGTGCGGTTTCTCCGCAGGAAAAATAATAAGTGTTTCCCAGGGCTGGGAAGCTGGTGGAGTTCATGGGAACAGCCGGAGCATTGTGAGAACACAACAATGTTTGTGTGGGAGCTGTACTGATAGTTCAAACAAATCGCTAATTATTGTGAATTTTTGTTCTGTCCCGTCTTCTTTTACCATTCTTTTTGTGTCGTTTTCATGCCAACAGATTTTGAGAAGAGAGGAAAGAAGGAAGTGTGTCCAATACTGGATCAGTTTCTTTGTCATGTTGCTAAGACTGGAGAGACGATGTAAGTGTGACTGTTTTGGTGGTCCTCAGTTGTGACTTAAAACAATTCTTGCATTTTACGTCAGTGAGATTCTACCAGGGTTCTTTTTTTTGCCTGTAGGTTGCTTCAGTGAGCTGAATAAGCTTTCCTTAGTTTCCATTTAATTTAGTGTGGATTAATTTAGTTTGCTGATAGTTTGATCTAAGGAGAGGAGACTTCTGATATAGGCTTTGCTCTGGGGTGTCTGTCAGGTCTCACTGATCCTGCTCAGCACAATAAAAAACCTGTTGCTTTCCCTGGGTTTTTAAGAGAGATTCAGGTTTTGTAAGTGGCAAGTTCAGCTGCTGTTGCAACGCCTGCTGTACACTGTTGTATAACTGTGTTTGCAGTATCTCATTGTGTTATTTACATAAAGATATCAGCCGCTCACATTGTTTCTTTCTGAGCTCTGTAACCATCCTGTGATTGTGTCTGGGTGAGGGGACACGATCCGGAGGCGCTTTTACAGCCGGGCCTGTGGGAACCGCTCGGAGCTGCCGCGGTTTCTCAGCTCGGCGGGAGTTTCCCTCGTGCCGCCCTTTCCGTGCCGCTTTCCCGGCGGCTTTCCCGGGCGGCAGCGGAGGGAGCCGCGCTCCTTCCAGGGATCGCTGCTGCTGACTTCCTTGTGGCTCACTATTTGGCAGGAAGGGGAAAGGCTTCCCCGGCTGCGCTGCTGTAGCTGGGCTCACTTTCTGGCGCCCAGGCTGTCTCCTTGTTTTTGAGGCCTAGTGCCAGACTACGGCTGCAGCAGGGGAGATTTGCTTTTGCGAGTGTTTTGTGATCAACCAGTGACCGCAGGGGCTTTGTTTGAGTTTCTGGAGTCCCGCGAACTTGTAAGAGGTTTTGTAGGTTTTGGTGGTTTTCTTTTTTTTTGGTAGCTTGCTAGTGCTGCTTGGATTAATGGTTTAGAAAGAAAAACAAGTTCTGAAATGTACTTTGCTCTTTGAATAGAGGCTCATGCTCAGCAGACATACACAGCTCTAATGCTTCATGTTTTGGTGTAGTGCTTATTATACAGAAAAAACACATCACTGTAAGCCCATACTAAAATTTGGTTAAAATATTTTTCCCATTCTGAGATATTTCTTCAGGTTGTTTTTACTGTTTCTGCCACTATCATTTATATTCCAAAGTAATTTTTAAAAAGTGGTTCTATAGGGGCAAGTTCTTGGAAAAATTATTTCCTCTCTGATTTTATTTTCATTCAAGAAATCTAGGTTTATTTTTATTATTTTTATTTTTACAAACTTTAACCTGAACTGGGATCTGTAATCTGATATACAGATCCTGCATTCCATGTTTCCAGAGTTTTCTTCTTGGTTTTTTTGAGGTCTGTAGCTCTTTCAGCCTTCTTAAACCTTTCAGTTGCATTAAATAGTTTTTTAAAAGGTGTTGGGTCTGAACATCAGAAGTGCATAATATTATCTGGAGATAGGCATGGAAATATTGTTTTATAATACCAAATTTGCTTCAGATT